TGAAGTTTTGCAGCAGAAAAGTTTGCCTCCAACTTCTACAAGAATGTTCAATTTCAATGCCCCTCCAGAGGTACTATCCTTAAAATTGTGTTCATCATATTCATAATTTAGGGGAAAATGGTGTTAATCTGTTAAGTTTAGTAATGCTTTAACCTTTCTTATTTAGAGAAAAGCGAATCCTCTAAACCTCAAGGTAATATGGCGAATTTTTCAAGTGACATATCTGAGAAACCTTTCTCCAGCTCTCCATGTGGTTTTTTGGGTAATGTTAAGAATATGAGCAAGATTATTCATCACCAAAGAACCACTGCCATGAGTACGAGCACTCAAAATTGCTCATCAACTCTGCCGAATTATGGGGATTTCACATTTGGATCAGTTCAGGTATCACTCTTAACTTTTTATTTTTCCTAAATAGTGATTGATAGTCATTGTAATATAAAGTTACAACTGCATTATGCATGTATGCATCCAGCTTTCCTGATAAAAACTAATCTTTAAGACCAATCCAAAATTACAATTGCAATGAGTATTTTTATTCGGAGTAGCTGTGGTTGCAGTGTGTCAAGCGTAATCACACATAATTTTTCACTTGTGATTTTATTTATTTACAGGAAGACAATTCATATTTTGAAGGTTCTGGCATGATGCAAAGTTCAAATCAGCCTTTGAACAAGCCGATTGGCCATCCCCCTGGATTTTACAGAAATTTGAAGGATTCGGCAGACACCTTATGTGAAGTTTTGCAGCAGAAAAGTTTGCCTCCAACTTCTACAAGAATGTTTAACTCCGATGCCCCTTCAGAGGTACTATCCATACAATTCTTTTTATCGTACACATAATTTAAGGGTAGGCTACATTAAAAATGGTGTCACTATTATGGGCAGTTAGATTAATGAGTGTTTCAATTTTTTCACAATGACTTAAAATTAAGAAAAAAACATAGTCTGAAGTCTGTATTTTAAATCGTTCCAAAGTTAAAGACCAATAATTCTTATTGCGGGTATCTCAAAAATGTTTTCTGCGCAACAGTTTTGTTGCAACGAAGTTGGATGTAAAACTCTCTTAATCAGAAAGCGAAAAGCTATAGTTCTGGCAGAACACACTTTCTAACTTGTATTTTAGTTTTTGATAGAGACATTCTATTATAATATTTTAAAGCATTAAAAGTGGGCCAAATTTAGTTCTCATTATTTTAAGTACATTTCAGTGGTAAGCATGGAAAAAAAATTACAAATTGTGTTCTGTGAGAACACGAAGATCAAATTTCTTATCTTGTGTGGCACGAAACTCTAAACCCAGTGCGCAGGGGATATTTAGAGCGTTAAATAAAGTGTTTAGTTGAAAGTAACTACAATATTCATATGATGATTTTTAATGTGTAAGTGGATGAGAAAGTGTTCCCCTGACCAAGAAATGTAAGAAGCATTCACAAACGTGAATAGGTTGCAAGTATGAGTCAGTTGCTGTATTAAATGCCTTAAGGGTCATTATCATTATCTAGGTAAAATGTTCAGTTATCCAGTGTAGCCTTCCCTTAAAGTACAAGCAGGAGGACATGTAGAATAACTAAAGTTGTAAGTCAAGCAGTTTAAAAGTGTTTCCATCTATCTTTTGTTTCTGTTTCTCTTCAGAAAAACCCATCTTCCATTTGGAGTAGTATGCCATCAACTTCACATGATTTCTTGAAGTCACAAAAGTATAAGGTACGATGGGAAAGACTGCTGTGTATCGGTAATTTGTTATGTCAAGTTAACAGTTTGTTCAACAAGTTGTGTTTTACTGTTATAGGGTGGGCAATCTGCTGCAGCAGCTTCCAATGTGAAGGAAATGATGACTCTTGCCGAAAAGTTAGCTCAACCAACAAATGTCCCTGGTAGCCCCGATAGGGATTATTATAATACTGAACATCTTTTTGATGCACCTGCTTTCAATGAGGCACAGTTATTTGTGAAATTTATGTGTTGCACAGGATGTTCATTATAAATTTAACTTACCATTGCACCGGCATTTCAAGGTGTTTCCTTTGATTTTGTATCTATTTTGAATGTGTACACTGGCTGTATATTTGTTATTGTTGTAGGGTGAAACTTCAAGTTTTTCAACCTCTGGGCTTAGAGCCTTACCCAATACAGAACACAAGGTAATGATTTGAAGTCTCTGACACATTAGGATAGGAACTAAGTTTTAAGTTTTTAATATCTATAAGTTTCTTGAACATCTTTTGTTTCGTTTTACAGGGTGGACAATCTTCTTTCACTCGTCGTAGCCTGTATGAGTCTTATGACTCACATAATGCCTCACACAGTGACTCCATCCTTGTTCGGGGCAGCAGTTCTGATGAGGCAAAGTTAGTTAATTAATTAATGTGTAGTCAATGAAAGTAAATCATACATTTTCATTACATCATTGACATTCATTTTTCCAATAGCCAATTTTGATCTTACTCTTTGACCTCTTTTCTATCTATCATTGTGGTTCTCTCTTGCAATTATCCTGACATGCTAGTTTGTTAATCAATCATTCCATCAGCTATTTTATTTTGTTTAAATTTATTTGGAATGCGTGGGTGCTTATTGTTTATTTATTATTGTCATAGGTAGTAACTGAGGATGTTTCTCCAAGAACTAAGGAAGTTTCTGCAAAAACTATTTCTAGGAGAACTAAGGAAGTTTCTGGGAGAACGCCTAAGGAAGTTTCTGGGGGAACTAAGGAAGTTTCTGGAAGGAATTCATTGTCTACACTGTTTTCTAAGACGAATAAGGTACTGTTCAATTTTTATTTACATTTATACAATAGGATTGTATTTCCACATAGTGACAGAAAGGATAGTGGTGTCCTTTTAAAATATCCCAATTTCACAGAACATATTTGTTTTGTTTAATGTGCTTTCTCACTGTCTTCCTTAAAGTCTCTTTCATGAAGCAGTATTTTAAATATGTTTATTTCATTTTCTTTCCCAGGTGGTAACAGGTTCTGAAGCTGATAAGCCAAAAAAAGGCAAGGCCAATTCAAAGGGCTGTAATAATAAGGTTCGTCTTTTACATATTCTCATTTGATGCTATCTCATGAATGTAGTGTTGCTTCCAGATTAAATTAATGCTTCCCTCCATTTTTTTTTCTTCAGGAAGAGTCTCCTGTTGCGGATCTTGAATCAAAAGCTAATAAGCCACACAAGAAGCAGAAGAAACCGACAGAAGAGGACTCAACTGCCACAAACCCAATGAGTATGAGTGGGACCAACACCAAGGTTTGTGAAATATCCTAGTACTTACCTGGCTTGCACATGGCTCAAAGTCCAAAGCCCACTTTGATCAAATTTAAAAAAAATTATTTTGTAGGATTAAAAAAGAGAAAAGAGTACCTCAGAGCATGTCATGTTTGTTCGTGGCCAAAACATAGTAAGATTTTTATTGCTTTAAGCACGATTGTCTCTATGATATCTTTTACCAGTTTAAATATAGGTGTTCCTTAAACATCTCCTTTTAGATTGTGATAGTTTGCAGATGGAAACCTTCCAAGTTTGCCAAGGTATTGATGCCATTCTTTTATTCCATAGGATAAGAATCTATTGAAGAAGTCCACTTCACGTGGGGGAGGTCGGGGTGGAAGGGGTGGACGGGGTGGAAGGGGGGTGGAAAAGTAGGACGACCACCTCATTCGTATTGTTCAAAGATGCAGGAACGAATTGAAAGTTACATCAAAGCTAAGCAGGAACTAGAAAATGGTGAGATTTCTGATGTTATAACACTTTTTGAATAAGTTGTTGCTTACATCTTATTGAATGCCTGCTCTTGGCAAATATTACTCTTATTATTGCAGCAGAAGGCCGAAGCCGCAAGAAAAAGCAATCAAAGACTTACTCAAGAATAGGTACATAGCAGAATAATTAACATGGGTTCATTGCTCATTTTCAGTTATTGCTCGTATACTGACAAGTCTTCCTCTTTTACAGTTAATCAAAATGACTTTTCTGAAAACGATTCCGAATACGGAATGACAGCACTACAAGAGAGGATAATTTTGAATCTGAAGACAAGTCAGGTGACTCAGCTAGTGAGTCGTAATTCAATACGAGAATAAATTTTGATTCTTTACTGATTGTTGAGTTTTTCTTCATTTCTGTAGTAGCTTATGAGTCGAATCAACAGCCATAGCATAGCTTATGAAGCAACTTGTTTTATGTAGAACAGTGGTGTTGGCAGTATAAACAGTGGTGGAAGTAATATATACATGAATCAGCTCTGAAATAAATTTAATCAAAAGAATTTATGCAAAGACTCTGCAGTCTTTTGCTCTTTGAGTATCTGTCATTTAAGCGGAAGCAGTAACTGGTTTCTTCAGTGAAAACAAAGTAAAGTGAAGGAGAGGTTTGGACATTGTAGCAATATCGTTCCCAAGGAGGAATTTGAGCACTGATTGTCGTCAAAATAGAGGACCATTCTGACGTCATGCTGACAGTCACTGTTCAAATTCCTGCTTGGGTTGGGTACATGTTAATATGTTGCCTTTGCCCAACCACCTAATAAGAGTGAGGAAATCATGGGTGCGAGCAGGAATAGATACTTCTTACTTGCCTTAACTGCTGCTGCAATTTTATAAAGATATCACAATTAAGTATTAATAACTATTAAAAGCTAAGTAACAAAAAGAGGTGATAAATAGATGGATTGAGGAATGTCATGTTTGATATCGACTTAAATGGAGACAATAACATTAATGGAACTATTGGAACATGCTCCCATTTTAGCGGAACTAGACCATCACCAGAGACAAGACCTGGAAAAAGAGAAAAGGATACAGGAGATTCTCCAGGACCTAAACACAGTTCCTCCTGAAATGTTGTGGTCTTCTGATGTGAGCCAGGGAGTAATTACTATTTTCTGTATTATATTGAAAACTATACATAATAAGTAAATGTTTTCCTATCTTTTTTTACAGGAAAAAGAATAATATGAGGATGAGGCCAAGAGGCTGGGATGGCGTCACGGTGCCTACGTCCGTTGTGCCTACTGCTATTGTGATAACTTTATTTCTTCAAATGATAAAAGTTATTAGAACAACAGCTATTTCACCAGCTAGCCTGTTCATTTCACCAGTGCCCTCCCTTGTTTCACCAGGTGTCACCCAGTTATTACAATAGAGCATGATTATTTTAATAGACTTGTTATCTAAATTAAAGTTGTTACTGTAACTATTGTTATAATAACACTAGCTATATGTACGCCAGACCACGTCTTGCGTAACAGGCTTCGCGATATATCACGAAACACTGTTACGCTGCGACGCGCCTGGCGCACATATAGCTAGGCCTGCGGCGCTGACACCCGAGACGAGTTAAGGAGAGGGTATAGGGAAACAGGGCCTTCCGGGCCCAAAATTTCACATACTCGAACCATTTGTCGGGGTCTTATTACTATCAAATTTGGAAACTGAGACTTCTGCTGTCGGTAACGGTTTTCATTGAAAGTTCGAATTTTGACAGATTGTTATGTAAAAATCAACGTTTTTGTGATACTAGATAATCTTGGGACCCTTAAGGCAAAAAAAGGGTGCAGTTCGACACGTAATATGTGGTTTAAGTATTACTCTCTATACAATTCTGTGACGTAAAGCCTTTTTATAACGATTAAATAGACCATTTTGTCTTTTTCACGTTGTTTTCGCCAAGAAATGCCCCATAGCGCCGAAACGGTACACGATAGAGCAAAACGGACGAAATTTTCGCCCACTGGGTTCTTCTTTCACGAGTTACCCCATAGGAGACCATAAAAAATATTTGGAAATAAG